ACTACGTTTTTTCTAAGAAATTATAATGGTACAACAAAACGCACACATAACGACTCCCACGCCATGAGTTGCCGATTTATTATATTATATTTTCCCCTTATATTGGGTAAATTATTTTAAAGAGTGAGTACTTCTGTTGCGAAATTTAATTTATTACGCAATTAATTTGGTACTTACAACTTTACACTTTATAACAGGTACCTAAGCAAAAATATTATTTTTGTTAGGAAAATAGACAACATCTATGTTGAGTATGTATTCCGTTTTATTGTGTAGTATATTTATCCCCGATTCCAATTAACCTAATAATACAATTAGCGGAAAACGCGATCCGATATACGCATTATTATTATCGTTAACATTTAGGTACGTTTAATATCGTGTGTGAAATCCAAAATCTACCTTAGATACTATCCCTATAGCAACAATATTATTATTATCATCATAATCAACAGCCTATATTATGCCCACTGCTAAGCAAAGCCTCTTTTCACACGTAGAAGGTTAAATGGTAAGGTAGTGGTACAGGTAGGTGGTTTCAAGAAACCACCTTTATAAATTATATGCCCAGGTTTCCTCACGATATTTTCCTTCACCGTTTGTCAACGGTGTCTAAATAATCTTAGAAAGTACATATAACTTACATTGGTACTTGCCGTTGCTAGGTTTCGAACCCGCACCCTCATGCATGAGAAGCGGGCGTCTTAAACCTCCGGGCCACGACACAATTATATAGGTATATACAAAAATACACAAAGAATATAATTATATAGGTCATAAAACTACGAAAATAAATTATGATCGTTTAATTTAGTTACATCTATGCGTCATTTTGACGTCATCATAAAGTGGTCAGACTCGTAAGACGAAATAGATATTGACAATTGACATCAAGAGGCGTTGAAAAAGGAATAGGTAAATAATACTGTTACGTTGGCATTGCTAATTCTGTTTACACAAGCCAGCACATCAAACTACTTCAATATTTTTAAATACTTCAATAGATTTTCGACTTTAAAGTACAAAGACTACAGTTGAAAATTTATCTGTACACGCATTTCATACGTAGTGAAAACGTGACAAAACACAGCTTGTGTTTGTGTTTTTTTTTACTGAAAATTACTCACTTAATTACTACTTACTCGGTACTATCGTAAATCGTTGTTTGAATTTTTGTTGAATGATCTGGTTTCGAATTTAAGTTTAGTTTTTTTTTGGTGTCGATTGTCTCTGCAATACCATAAAGTTTAATGTAACGCCTGAACACCCGAAGTATAGCAAATAGGTTTGATACTAATTGTAGAGTAAAGATACTTTGTCACTAGACCACCTTTACAGAACCTTCTAAACTGCCATCTATGATAATATTTTGATAATACTTTAAATGGTGAACTCTCTTATGAAGCTGCGTCACATCACACATCACAATGGAAATTTCCATCAACTAATTCATCAAACCAAATATCATAATGAGTAAGCTTATTATCTCAAATAAACTTACTCATTTATGATATTTGTGAACATACACATTTTGTTCCTAGTAATTTAGTTCTGTTTACATAAAGATGTAAATTTCCACCAATCCAATGTTAAAAAAAATAAATAAAGTAATTTTATGAATATATTTTTTTAAATATTTTTCCATATAAAAAGTAAAAATCATACATTTAAGGGTTAAGGTCCAGTAATGGACTGCCACTGTTTGTTTTGATAGTTACATGGTGCCTGATGAGTAAATTTTTCGTAGTAAAAGATGTTTATTATAGGATATATATAGCCAGTAGTCACGGATCGCGCGCCTCAAAGAGCAATCAGACTACCACAGATGGGGCTTAATAGGGCTGATGCCAATGTGGAGCGCATAACGGATTGCCGGGGTTCCACTTCGAAAAGCAGGAGTAAGAACAGGGTAGTTTTGAGTCTGACGCCCTGATGAGGCAAGAGGGAGTCCTCTTGCCTCATCAGGGCGGGAGAAAAAAAAGGGATGCAATTTCCCATGTCAAGTCAATTGCCAATTATTTGGGAAAATAATTATTAGAGACATAGATTACTTCAAAATTATGTATCGTATTCTTCTATACTCTTAGTTATACGCTTTTTATTAAATTGTTGTACTTTAACCTCTCCCATAGATGCATAAAAACAAACACTTAATTGTTATTTGTTTTAATAATAGGTTGTGGTTGACAATACATACTACGTTAATAATAATTATGACATCAGCATGCCCATCATTCCATTAATTCGAGTAGTTTCTGTACAACAATGGGAATGATCCTTATTAATTAAAGTTATGCAATTATGATAATGTTTAGTCTATCCTGTTCCTGTAAGATCATGAATATTTCAATTACAGTTCATACATGATTCATTCTGTAGACATATGAAGTTATAATTATAATATTTATATTTTAGTAGTGTCGTTCATGACGGAGGACTAGTCTAGTCATTATGAGATCGTTTGATAGGTTTTTATGTTTGTGTATAATCTGTGTTTATGTGATAAATATGTTCTTGTTTGTTTTCCTACAATTTTTAGTTTCGTGAAAATGTTATTAAATGACATGCATACATACTTACGTAACTTCACGCTTGTCGTCCATGTAGCAACTCTTTGTGATCCACAAATTGTTGATCCTGGTCTGGTTGTTGTCATGTGTATGACTTGTATGTTTGCAAACGCACCCACAGTACACAGGATAAAATCCTAGTGTGGAGCAACGGTTTTTAATAAAGAAAAAAATAAAAAATAGGTAGTATGTAAATCGTAAGTCATAAATTATGTTAGTTACAACATAAGCTGTTTAGATATATCCATCCAACTATTAAAATGGCAAAAAATAATAACAATAATTTTCCTACAAAATTTAACACATGTTTCATATCACGGAGGAAATAATACATTGTTTATTAAACTGCTAATACCTATACTTAATCTAATGATTTTGATGAAATCTTTTGTTCTTATCCAGTATCTATGAGATTCGGCCAATATCTATTTTTCATCCCCCTAAATGTTAGGGGTAGTCCACCCCTAAATTTTTTTCGAGATTGCGCGTATAAAGTCGCGGGCAGAAGCTAGTTAAATATATTATATTTGTTAAGGTGCACCATTCGAATTTGATAACAATAATGTTATCATCGTTGTGTGGCCTCTAGGTTTTAGCTTTTAGGGCACCCACTTCTTACGCTAAAGGCTGCAGATTCAAAATCTAGCAATTACCAACATAACTTATTAAAAATTATATATCTTTCGAAGTTTATACAGACACAACTGGCATTGAAGAAAAACGTCACGAGAAAACCTGGACTTATAATACCAAATCATGTTTTTGCACAAGATCATGCGTGGTAATTAATGCTTTTACCTTATCTGTGAGACGAGGCTTTTGCTCAGCAGTTGGCACTCATTGGTGATGACGACATTGATAAATTAAAATATCTACCGAAATAAGAGATTAATTCAAAATCTTTGAATTAAGATTAATTTCTATCAAAATCCTAGATCAACCTAGAGTTTTTTGATTACACCTGTAAATCAGATGATTTACATTAACTAAAATACCCATTATAAGATTATAATGGATATTGTAGTGATGATTTGACTGAAAACTCCAAAATGTATTTATAGGTAATTAACTAGGTACTGCTAGTCACACAAATTCATACAACAGTTTTAAGTGTACAAACCACAGATAAGCAGAGCGACATCTCCCTGTTTCGGTTTTCCTTCCGCCTAATCTGGCCAGCAACACATTTATAACGAGTTCTAGTCTACGACTTTTCCGTTCCCGCAGGAGATTTGGAAAACCCTTGATTAGTGGTTTCTACCGCCATTATTTTCAGCTACCAATCACACAACCTGCACTTAATGGAAATGTTTCATTAATTTATTGATTCAACTTGCACATAGCGGAAAATCTATGCACATAGATGGAGTACCTACGTATATGCGGCTAAATGTTGAGCTTCACAAAACCAATATGTCATGGTCTCGTTTTGTATGACTTTTTTACCTTTTCGACGGTCAATATATGCTGGATTTGTATAGTTTTATGCGTAGCTGTATATCTACTATTCATAGAAAATTATATTGTAAGTACACCATATAATACAATTATGGTAAAGCCGAAAAAGTGAAAAGTTCATGAAATGAGCAAATCTTATTATGTAACAATAAGTAACAGTATGATTGTTATTTTTGAGCATTATTGTCATATACTAACATAACTGTCAAGGAGATTGTAATATAGATAGGTAGGTAGGCTAGGTACTCTATCTAGGTCTAGGTTTCAATGCTAAGAAAAGGAATATAATTATGCAGAAATCTCATGAAAAAAATACTGGTATTACATGAGCAACTGGTTTTTGATAAGGCAAATTTAATGACTACGAGGCACATAATCAACGTAGGTATGCCATCAGATTTCAATTAACAAACGTCCTATATTTTACTGATCGTAAAGGCGTGATGTCATAGTTTGAAGTAGTAGGTCACTATTTTGGCATGTTTGATTTACTACTATTGTTTCGATTGAATGCAATGTGCCTCGAATAAATGATTTGTTAGTTTGTTTTCCAACGCAAAACAATTCAAATAACTTGATTTAATAATATATCATGAATATGCAAATTGAATGAAGGAAGAATCATAACAGAGAAGAGAAGTGCTGTAATAATGTCCAAACAATATTTTTGATGACATATTTTTAGTAATTATTGTGAAACCCTTATTATAAGTACATACTTCAGTCCGCTACAAAATATAATTAAAAAAAACAAAAACAAGTTGTCAGCCAAAAGCCGGAGCCGGGTCATTTTTAAGTTTGTCAGTTGCAACCCTGACTACGACGAAAAAAAAATAAACAATCAAACAAATGTCAAATTTTTGATGACATTTCTACCTACCCAGTGTACCAAAAAATAGGCGTTTGTTGTTTACACAATTCACTTCACTTCACTCATTATTAATATCAATTCACCCTTTTAAACTGCAGTCGCTACGTCCACAAGTTGTTTAAAACTAGTATTGTAAACAAATAATCGGTCGACTGTACGTACCTAAAAGAGTAGGTAGGCATGATATAACCGGCTTTACTTCGCATATAAATACGCCGCATTAACGTATTTACCGGTCAGTCAGTAATTTTCCTTGTTTCGAGTAGCCGTTAGTGTTCCACACAACGCGTCATAGATAGACATACCTAATAATTATAAAAAAAATGACCAGCGCGAGATAACATCAGTGTTCGAAATTCAAGTGCTTCAATTTGTAAATCAAACTAAAACATTGGTTGTGATTAAGTGTGTGTAAGAACAAAACAATAACGAATATGCCTAAATTAATGAAATTAGTGCTTTGTGTGGCGTCAGTGGCGTTGTGCTGCGGACAACCCTTACAAAATCCAGTAGAAAATAACACGGGTCTCCACAATGGATTATCGGAGAAAATCGGAAACTTTTCGATAGAAATATTGTTCCATACATCGAAAACTTTACAAGAGGGTGATAATTTTATAATGTCGCCCATTACCGTGTGGAGCGTTCTTGCTGTGATCGCGGAAGGTGCGGCCGGAGACACGAGAAACGAAATTAATAACGTGCTTCGTCTCTCTGCGCGAAATAAGGAGTCGACGCGCACTGGCTTCAGGAACATCACACAATGGCTACAAGTAAACACTGGCACAGTCAAACTAGCCAAAATAAACGCCATTTTCGTCGACAAAGACAGACTTCCTTTACCAGAGTTCACAGAAATCTCCAAAAACTATTACCAAACTGAAATGGTGACTCTAGACTTTAAGGACAGTGCGAGGTCAGCGAACATTCTCAACCAAGCCATCTCAAACATTACTCATGGGAAAATACCCAATATGGTTGATGCTAGTTATTTCCAAGACTCACAGATGGTGTTGACCAGTGCTTTGTACTTCAAGGGACAATGGGCTATGCCATTTAATGCATCATCAACAGAGAAAATGCCATTTTATGACTCCAAGGGTCAAAAGATTGGTGAAGTCAACATGATGTACAACAGACACACATACCCATTCTCAAATATCAAACAACTTCAGGCTAGAGTCATTGAATTGCCATATGGTAATGAAAACAGGCTCTCAATGCTGATCATGTTACCAAACCCTGGAGTGTCCCTAGAAGATATGTTCTCAAACTTCAAGAATGTTAACTTGGACACTTTCTTTGAGGAACTAAGAGTATCTAAGGAAGAATATTCAGACGATGAAGTGGACTGCTACATCCCCAGATTTAAGATCCAGTCTGACATTGATCTCACAAATGTATTGAAGAACCGTCTGGGCATCCAGGAGCTGTTTGACCAGTCGAGGGCCAAGTTACCTTTCATGGCTAGGACACCTTTGTATGTATCGAAAGTGATACACAAAGCTGAGATTGAGGTCACTGAAGAGGGAACTGAGGCTGCAGGAGTAACAGTAGCCGAGTTCAGTAACAGAATAGGAGTAGTACAATTCCAAGCCAACAGACCATTCACATACATGATCATAGAAAAAGTAACAAACTCAATAGTATTTGGTGGCTTCTACAAAACTCCATCTTTGTATTGAACATAAGGAAAAATATAATTGAACGTACAAAGTCTGCATTTAGACATAAAAACTTATTGGTGGCTTAACCTTTTTGTTGAAAAGAAGTAAGAACACACACAGATTAAAAATTCAAATTGTAAAAAAAACATAGTCAACTTTTTAATTATACCAGAACAAGGAAATAATTATGATGAGATGTCATGGGTTATTCCATAAATATAAACTTGTTAAGGAAGCTTGTAGGTACTGTGTGTTCAACAAATAAAGACTTGACTACAAATATAATTTATCAATATAACTGTGTACATAATTATACACACAGATAGTGGAAATACAACTTCTTGAATGTCACTAGTTGAATGACTGTGACCTTATGAATATTTTATTGTTCAACATTGTGGCCATATTGTGATGCCAGTACATAAAAACTGTTTATGCATTATTAATACCTTATCATTTTTAGTTGCAAGTATGAGAAACCACAATTAGCCACGTTTAATTGACACCCTATTAAGTTATCTTAATACTCATGTTCAATGTAACTTGGTATTGTAAAGCATACTCAATTGTGTTAGGCATAAGGTTGTAATTTGTTTAGCTGAATGCTCTCTAATTGACTTGTAAATAAGTTGTTTTGCTGTTTGAAAACAACATGGCTGAGTATGTTTTAGGGAAAAATAGATGTTTTCCTCATTGACTTGCAGACATAATAATTTATTGGAAGAATTAATTTGCCGTTTTAACTAAAACCGTTTGACTGCCCTCATGGGGGATTTTACTGACAGAATGTCCTTAAAAAAATTCATTGTGGCGTTCCGCAAAACTTGTTTTAGATATATCCGTAAGAACTCATTTTGAAAATAGATTGTTATTTTTGTAAATATTAGCTGTTTATGCTTTGTTTGTGGTTATGAATGTTGATTAGAAATATGTTTTATTATTTTACTGTAACAGTGGGTATATTGACGTGGTCGGAGACAAAAGATATGTTCTAAATTATTATTAACAAGTTCCAATTTGACTTTGTTCAATGTAAAGAAATGTAAGTAAGATTTTGGCGACAAATTTTACATTTTGTATCATGTGTCCATCCACTCAATAAACCCCCAATAGGTTTTTTGTAAAATATCTAAAAATTACAAACTTAAAACTAAGATTTATTAGGGGAATATGTAACTGAATATTTTTGAATTGAACTGTAACTTTCCAACTAGTCAAATTTAAACTGTCAAACACCGCGAGGACACCGGTGACCGCAACCTATTGTTCTTTAACTCGTCGAGTACCGTCATTATAGACACAATTATAGAACAATAGGTTGCGGTCACCGGTAACCGCTTGGTGTTTGACAGTTTAATTGTGTCTATAATGACAGTACTTTATGGGTAAAAGGTTTATTGTATCAAAAAATTGTTCTTGATGATGAAACTACTTATCTACCCACTATAAAAATATTGTTAGTATTTCACAGAAGATGTCTATAAAATATTGAGTCTATCTCCTAATAAATTCAAGGCTTAGTATGTTGTAAATAGTTCTATTAATTTTACATTTAGAAAGGATTGAAGAGAAACTAGTTTTGAAACAAGTTTCCTAGCATATTTTTTATTATTAGAAATATTGTTTTCAAACTTGTATTCTTTATTGCATTCATTATTGCTATTTACCTATTTCTAAGCATTTGATAAAGCTGAATGATAATGTTTTTGCTGCATACTCCATACCTACAGAAAAAAAACATATTTTTATAGGTAAATAGGATAAATGAGTGATCTCCATGAAGGCAGTCTAATTTATTATGACTTCACAATAATTGTGAATCTTGTGATAGATCTGAAATTATAATTTACGATTTTTTTTAAGATAAAAAAACAAAACATATTTGATTAAAAACTTTTTGATAAGACATTTGTATTTTTTTTTCATTGTTCTATTTATTGTCTGTGATATTAAGTTGTAAGCTCTATGATAGCGTAAAAATATTTGTTATTTATTCTTCTGATTGATAAATTATTTTGGTTTAAGTAATAAAAAATAAAATAGTATGAAAAATATTTTTGAATTGTCTATATTTGCTATATCCTTTCGAAGCACTGATTTAATTGTTAATCTCATAAAATCATTGTGAGATTAAACATTCCATTTTGATTTCTTAGTTTTACCCTTTTCACCTATTTTAGGGTCAAACTATCTTATTCAAAAGACCCGCGGACCAAGACTATAAATATAATCTACTTTGATAAATATTTGAAACCAATACCATTTGAGTCACATTCCTTTTATATCTTACTAAACTAGTTTTGCTAACCTGTTTGAGAAAAGCCGTCAGTAGTTAAGAAGATTCGTTTGAGCGGTGAGCCAATAAAGTACTATAGCATATCTAACTTGAATATTTTATTTATTTATTTATTTTTATTTTATTTTTAACCATGGTCGTTCCACTGCAGGACAAGGTCCCGAAGAATCTTTTACCTGGCTACAAATGAGAGTCATTCATGGAATTTGATACATAATAGGTTAATAGGAGTTTTTCTATCTCAAAATATGATTACATTACCTAATTTACCGTCATTTTGACTTAGATTTTATTATTCTATGCTATAGGTCTATTTAAAAACACTAGGTATCATATAGACATCACATTCAGAATTAAAACAATAAACATTTTGTGGATCATACAAAGAATAAATCTATATATATAAAATTCAAAGGTGATTGACTGACTGACTGATTGACTGACTGACATAGTGATCTATCAACGCACAGCCCAAACCGCTGGACAGATTGGGCTAAAATTTGGCATACAGATAGATGTTATGACGTAGGCATTCGCTAAGAAAGGATTTTGATAATTTCCACCCCCAAGGGGGTAAAAAAGGGGATGAAAGTTTGTATGAGACTTTGTCAGTTTTAAACCGATCGGGTTGTAATTTGGCATGCAGATAGATGTTATGACGTAAGCATCCGATGTGAAAGGATTTTGATAATTTCCACCCCCAATGGGGGTAAAATAGGGGATGAAAGTTTGTATGAGACTTTGTCAGTTTTAAACCGATCGGGTTGTAATTTGGCATGCAGATAGATGTTATGACGTAAGCATCCGATATGAAAGGATTTTGATAATTTCCACCCCCAAGTGGGTAAAATAGGGGATGAAAGTTTATATGAGCCTTTGTCAGTTTTAAACCGATCGGGTTGTAATTTGGCATGCAGATAGATGTTACGACGTAGGCGTCCGCTATGAAAGGATTTTGATAATTTCCACCCCCAAGTGGGTAAAATAGGGGATGAAAGTTTATATGAGCCTTTGTCAGTTTTAAACCGATCGGGTTGTAATTTGGCATGCAGATAGATGTTACGACGTAGGCGTCCGCTGTGAAAGGATTTTGATAATTTCCACCCCCAAGTGGGTAAAATAGGGGATGAAAGTTTATATGAGCCTTTGTCAGTTTTAAACCGATCAGGTTGAAATTTGGCATGCAGATAGATGTTATGACGTAAGCATCCGCTTTGAAAGGATTTTGATAATTTCCACCAAGGGGGTAAAATAGGGGATGAACGTTTGTGTGAGGCTTTGTCAGTTTTACACCGATCGGGTTGAAATTCGGCGTGCAGATGGATATTATGACGTAAACGTCCCTTTAGAAAGGTTTTTGAACATTCTCACCCCAAAGTATGATACTTTGCCAGTTTTAAATTGATCGGGCTGAGACTTTGCATGCATAAAGTTACTATGACATAGGTATCTCTTTAGAAAGGATTTTGATAAATTCCACCCCTAAGGGGATAAAATAGGGAATGAGAGTTTGTATAAATCTTCTTAGCCGTTGAATTTAGAATCATTGAATCTTTTTGAATTACATTCGGTAAAACGATGATTTGGGACCTGGGTAACGTATGATAGTTTTTTCACAGATGTCTCACGAGAACGGGAACTATGCGTCAATGCCCCAGGACTCTCTAACTCTTAACCACTGAACTTATTCTAGAGAGATTCGGTACAACAATAGTCGATAGAATAGTTTTTATTACTCAAACCTTACGTGATCGGGCACTGTACTGGTAAGATCCCTGCGGGATTATTTATTTATTGAAACTACGATAAATCATTTCAAAATAGGTAAATCTTACTTGGGCACTGAATTGATTCTGGTTAATTCTGTCAGAAGTCATTAATCTACGCGGACGAAGTCGCGGGCAACAGCTAGTTATTCTATAAATTACCACATGTAGGTACCTAATAACTAAGTTACATAGAAACACAGCCATTAATCAACCGTGTCGATGATTTCACTATGATTGAGATTGTCAGATGTTCAACCCTTCATCCTCTAAAAGCCACAGAGCCAAGGAAGGCCGAACGGGCTTTTTTTTATGGCATAAGCCGGTATACGAGCTGTAGTACTTATCTGATGTAAGCAATCGGCGCCGCCCATGGACACCTGGAACACCAGAGGCGTGTACAAGTGCGTTACCGGCTTTTTGGGGATTAGGAGTTTGAGGATCGTTGGGGATTCAGGGATTGGGGAGATTGGGGAGGGGAGGGTAATTGGGCCTCCGTTAACGTCACTTACACGACGAAACACAATGCAAGCGTTGCTTCACGTCGGATTTCTGTGAGGCCGTGGTATCACTCCGGTCGAGCCGGCCCATTCGTGCCGAAGCATGGCTCTCCGAAACTTATTTTTGTTGCCGGTTTTCGCCGGTGCCGGTCGTTTGGTTGCCGGGGCTCCAGCTCGAAAGCAGGAGTAGGAACGGGGTGGTTTTGGTCAGTAAGTCTCACACTCCTCGCTCAACCCTAAGCGGTAGAAGTCATCGGATGATTTTCCCTCCTCAAAAAGCCGGCAATGGCCTTGTAGCTTCTCTGATTTTGCGGGTGTCCATGGGTATCGCCGAATTCCATGTACAATTAGCTAATCAACTTGTTTGCCGACCAATTCTATTAAAAAACTTCAGTCAGGCATTAAATTACCTAATTCATGGTTTACATCTTAGGTAACAACGTTATTATTTTACAAGGTGTCTCGATTGGTCTCAAGCTGGATATTAGGGGCTCATATTCGTGACCAGGACTCAACAACGAATCCTCGTTAAAACAATTTGATAGATGACCTCAGGCAGTCTGTATGACATTAATGGAATCCTTACTAATCCTTATATCCTTTATCCTTATATTACATATTATAAATCGGAAAGTGAGTTTGTTTGTTCTGCTTTCACGCCGTAACTATTAAACCGATTGCTTTGAATGTTTGCAGACGTAAAGTTGGAAGTCCAGATTAAATAATAGGGTACTTTTTATCCCGGAAAAATTTGATATTCCCAAGGGAAAACAAAAGTATTGGTATAGATGGCGCTGTGTGTATTGGTATAAGTCGCATAGGCTACTTTTTATCCTTTTGTGATGCAAGCGAAGCCGCGGATAAAAGCTAGTATTTAATAATCCAAGTGCAATAATTAAAATAGGTACTCACTTATATTTAAAAAAAAACTAGCTTCTGCCAACGGCTTTACCCGCAATCCCAGGGGTAAAAAACCTATGTATTAGGTACTTTAGACCATATTCTACCTCTGTTCCGAATTTCATACCGGTCCCTTCAGTCATTTTGATATGATTGAGTAACAAACATACACTTAAACTCACATATTTTTACATTTATGATATCGGTTCAAACGAACTTCAACCATCTGCCCTACATTTACAGCGGATAGTCCGCTGCGGGCAACCTAACTTTCGACAAACTTATATTTGCGTTTGGTACAGTAACTATGTCGATCGAATCGTAATCGAATTTTTTTAATCACATTTTTGGGTTTGGTATCTATCTAGTAACAGCCCCAACTATATTTTTTTAATTTTTCAATGTACAGAATTTACACTTGCGAAGGACACTCCGGGCGTCGGGGATCGCGGGACGATCTCCGGCCACCGTAAGCACGGGCCTGCGTACGGCGAGCATGGGTAGTTCGCCGTCCGACAAGAACTAGACCCTAGCGTGCGGCGCGTCGCGTTCCGCGCGCGCCTCAAAGAGCCATCAGACCACCACAGATGGGGCCCAATAGGGCTGATGCCGGTACGGAGCCGCGAAGAACTTAAAGGGTTACCGGGACTCCGGCTCGAAATGCAGGAGTAGGAACGGGGTGGTTTTTAGTCAGTAAGAGTCTGACACTCCCTCCCGACTCACCCAGACGGGAGAAGCCATTCGATGATTGTCCCCCCTTAAAAAATACTATCAATGTAGATTCGTACTA